TGGTGTATTTTGTAAAAAGGCAAAAACTTAGTTATAAACATCCTAGTACCATTCGATAGGTAATTAAAAATTGCATTTCCTGGTAAGCTAAAAAACATGGGGTTGTATTTAAATTAATCAAGTTATAGCCACTTAAAGTTCTCATTTGATTAGTTTAAATTTGTGGACACCCTGTATAAAACGGTAAGTTTATTATCATTGGTATATAAAATATGATTTCTTGTTACCCTACACTACGAATTACGTTTACATAACTTAAATAATTCTAAAGTATTTGACACATGAAAATAATATAATAAATATTTTGATAAAATTCGAATTATTTAAAAAACCTTTAGATTTAGACATTATAAATCTTATTAAAACAAACACTTAATTTGTTCAGAGAATCCAAAAATGCAATAACATATAGGGTATGTCATTTAGAAACAACACAACTTTGATACTTTTAGGGCTTCCGGGACACTCTACATTACAAAAATATTTTTAAAATGTGCACCCGATAGGCGTCTGTCGATTAATCAAATAATACTTTGCAAAAAACAAACTGGCTAACCGCAAACGTCCGTGCCGTATAGCGTGAATAACCCTGTATATGAATATGGAAAGGGAATGAAATGTTTGGCCCACTTTTCCGCTTCTTTCGCCATTTCATTTGAATATTTATGAATGAGGGTTTCGGTCCCTTCTCCATCCTGCTACTTATGCGTTCCTCATCGGCAGGAGTTGAACATTATCACACTGACGTCATCGACTTTTGCTCAGTTCAGTTGCCAATTCTGGTTCAAGACTTTTGAGAAAAAGCCACTGTTTTTGAGGCCTAGCGAGTCGATTTCCTTCATTATTCATGTATGCCCAGGCAATAAAAAATTGCAAAACACTCTTCTACCGATTAAGAGCGGGCCATAAAGCCGTAGATCGTGAGGCCAAGGATAAGGCTCGTCTATAATCGACCAGAAAGCTTAAGCAACAGTACCTTTACCTACAAAAACATGCATTAACTAAGCGGCCATTGTAATTATACACGATTTGCACTGTTCGAGAGTGTCGAAGTGTCGCCTTGCATACTAATTATGCGGCCTGCGGTACTACTGAATTATTAATTTTTTACTGTTCAAGATCATCATTCAATATTGCAACGATTTTTTTATAATTTGGTTGCGAAGCAAAAATTTAAAAATTTCAAATTCAATAATTTTTCTAGTTTCATAGACAACAGAAGACTGTATTTTTTCTACATAACCCCCCTTCTGAATTTAATTTGGATCCTCCCCTGCCCAACCCATACGGAGAAAGCAATTTGCAAATTGGACGATAAACGTTTAATAACTCAGGTTTTTCTGCTAGAAAGCGCAAAATTCGTTTTCCACCAGACATTTTTAATTATTCTTCTCACGACCGCGTTATGTTTTAGGTGCTGCTCATCAATAGGCGCGTGGTACCATTCAAGCGCCCCCTCTTGGAACCATCATCATCAGCCTTACAAACAGTTGCGATAGTGCGTTTGGGTTGGTGCAATCTAGTGTTCTCTAGCAGGACAAGTCTTGCTTAAGCTGGTGAGTTGAAGTGCGGATTCTTGAGTTAAGGCTTCGCAGGAGTAAAACAGAGCAAACAAGTTTCGATAGTGGCTTTTCTGTATAAATGGAGTTCCGCAGTTGGAACCTCCGGTCTCTTTGATATTTTTGGTCCACTTCAATCGCAATTGGTGAAATATTCAGTGGGCCAACAACCATTTAAGAAAAACGACCAAAAATTCCCCCTATTTAACGCAAAGTTTGGGGAGGAAAAATTGCC